TTGTTTGAAGAAAAATTCGATTGAGAATTCCTAGTTCGTCGTATGTTGAGCACAACATACAAACACACGCCTGTGGTCTTTCAGAATGGTAACATTTTGGATTCCAGCTGACGGAATTTGACCAGAGCGTTCACGAGTTGGGAAGCTATCTGTTGACTTTATGAGAGGCGTGAAGCACTACTGTCTTATCTTCCTGTCTTTTCATTGAAACTGATGGTAGTATTAAGCATACAATGCACATCAGGTCCTAAGCCTTCTTCATAACGTGAAGACACTCCATTCTAGTATCCCTGACGATTTAATTTCTTCTGGTGCGAAGCTGGTAATGCTTTTGTATCTGTTCCATCGGTATATGGGTTCTTGTGGTCACAGACATTGAGGTAGCCCAGTTGTTGACGCCATTTGGACCTAGTGTGCCTCCGTTTGTTTTTGTTATTTTGGGTACTTCTCATGCCCACACTGAGATCGTGTGCTGTTCTTCAAGACTTGATGCGTGCACACTTGAATTGGAAACCTCATGACCAGGCGAAATCGAAGTATCATCGATACTAACCGGTTCATGAAACCCCGACTCGTACGTCCAGACATTGCTGTATTTAAGGTTCCCACCGGCTGCCATGAGTAGACGGGGAAAGGGTATTTAAACAAGACAACGCAGTGCTTCCCAGCCTTCACATTATTACCTCCTTGCTTCTGTTCAGTTTTATGAAGTCTTCGGCTGGCCAACCCGTATCCCATGTCTCTACCCGATTGAGATCCTGTCAAGTATATTAGCAAGGCAAGTGTGGCAGCATCTGCGAGCACGGCATTCGTTCTGGAACACGAATGGACAACCTCAGTTGAGGCATTATTAAAATCACAGCGAAGTGATTTATAATAGCCGCAAGGTAAAATGGTCTTAAAACGGTGTCAAAATCTCCGAGACAGGGTAGGTGTGTAATCTTATCAATTTTGTTATTCACATTTTGGTGTTTTTACGCCACTTGGTCAAACTCAGATTGTTACGAATCCACGGGGCGATCAGTTGACTTGAGAACTAGTACACAAATCTCCAGCTGCTTCACGAGCCTAATCACTTCTAGTGCAGAAGAGGACCAGACATCCGGAGCGGAACCTTTGCTACCTCGATTAAAGGCAGTAAGATCAATGCCATATATATATA